AGTTGTGTTTAAACAAGATAAATAAATGGTGTCTTGAAAACGGCTTTAAATTTTCAAAATCCAAAACTAATTGTATACATTTCTGCCGTAAATACAAACCGCATAAAGACCCTGAACTCTCTCTAAATGGCACTCCCATTAAAGTTGTGAAGGAGGCCAAATTCTTGGGTATTATTTTTGACTCGCACTTAACGTTTCTGCCACATATTAAATCCCTTAAAACTAAATGCCTGAAGGCACTTGACTTGTTGAAAGTTGTTTCCAACACAAAGTGGGGAGGGGATCAAGCTACCCTCCTCCACCTATATCGCTCATTGGTCCGCTCGAAACTTGATTATGGCTCCATCGTATATGGTGGAGCTTGCAAAAGCAATCTAAAACTACTTGATTCTGTCCACCACCAAGGTCTGAGACTTTGTCTTGGATCTTTTAGAACTTCTCCTGTTGACAGTCTCTACGTCGAAGCAGATGAGCCTTCTCTTGCCCATCGACGTATAAAATTATCTTTACAATATCTTACAAAACTATATTCTAACGAATCGAATCCTGCATTTCATTGTATCTTTAATCCTCTTTATGAGGATTTGTACAACAATAAATCTTCTCTTGTTCCGCCCTTGGGGCTCAGAATGAAGCCATTCAATACTGCTGCCGGCATTGAGCTGGAGAATATAGCTCCTTCCCGTCTTCTTTCTTCTCCTCCTTGGCAATTGGTTAGGCCTGAAGTTGACCTAACTCTGACAAAATTTAAGAAATCTGGAACTAATGAATTACAGTATAAACAAGAATATAATCAATTAAAAATCAAATATAAAACATACAAATCCTTATTTACAGATGGGTCCAAGGACGGTGGCGCAGTGGCATGTGCCACTGTCATTGGAGCCAGAACAATATCTTCTAGACTACCTGATAACAGCTCTATATTTACAGCAGAAGCAAACGCCATCTTAACAGCTCTTAAATATATTCAAAGACATCCAAAACATAACCAGTATATAATATTTTCTGACTCTCTTTCTTGCCTTCAGGCTATTAAAAATCTCTCTTGCAAACATCCACTTTTAATTGAAATAATCGAATTATATAATGATCTTGCTACAGGCCAGTGCGACATCGTCTTCTGTTGGTTACCCAGCCACGTTGGCATTTCTGGGAATACAATGGCCGATCTTGCTGCCAAGGCAGCACTCAATAAATCTGTGACACCACTTCTTCTTCCTTACTCTGATTACAAAGCTTGCATTAGAACCTACATCCGTGATCTGATGCAGAAGAAGTGGGACACCCAAGTAGGTATCAATAAATTACATGCAATAAAACCCTATATCGGTTACACTTACTTGGGTTGTCAGTCCAGATTTGAAGAGGTCATCATGCGACGATGTCGTATTGGCCATACAAGGTACACTCACAAATATTTGTTAAATGGTGAAGATCCTCCGTTTTGTATCCCTTGTGATGAGAGAGTCACGGTCAAGCATCTCCTGCTTGACTGTGTTGAATTCTCCATCATAAGGGGTAAATATTTCAATGTTAAAACTGTTAAGGATCTTTTTAATTCTGTTCATGTTCATTTAATTCTTGGTTTTTTAAAAGAAATTGATTTCATTAATGAATTTTGATTAATATGTTCTGTAAATAGCTGTGTTTTAATAATTGGTAGTTTGATTAGTAACTTAGATTGTTAGTGGCTGTACTCTCAAGGGGGGTTGAAGAATCGTAAAAATATTGTCCCCTGAGAGGGTACGTAAGTCCCAAAACTTCGAAAGTCAATTTAAACTTACCAGGATTTTTAAACGTAGCATTTTTGTCATTTTAATTGTAGCTAACATTTCTTACAATCGCCAGCAGCTGAAGGGATGGTGTAAATCCAACTAGGGTCCACGCAGGTAGCCAAGGTACTGTAAGTCCCCATGGTCCCTAGTATGGTGATCGACCTTCAGTTGTTGGCGATCTATAGCCTGTTTTTATCTTGTATTGTCCTAATAGTGCTATTAGTTTTAACCTTCCACACTAGTTTTAAATCCAAGTGTGATATTCTAGTTGTTTTACTGTCCTTCGATGACAGGTTTTATAATATATACATATTCCATTACAATGTCAAATGTTCTCGTCACGATATGGCTGAAATATTGCCGATGTGACGTTAAATATTAACTCACTCACTCACTCACTAAATTATCAGCCAACAACACTATAAAATTTGACACAAAGCAAATACGTCCCAGGTTGGTTGGAAATGTAAACTCTCTCCTTCGCCCGTAATGATTTACCGTTAGGCCGGTGTTTACATTTTCAGCCCATACCCGTGTTATCGCCTGAGCATGTGTCACGCTTGCGGATAGATCTCCACCGGTTAATTGGCGGTAGAGTACCTGAATAAATATTCGTTCTCGCCACAGCGGAAGACGAAGTACCCTATGTCGCAGTTGACACCAGACCCACGTTTTCACCATGCTGAGAAGGAGGAAACTGGCGTCCTTCGTCGTTCCCGTTTTGCTTTTGACAGTCGGGGCTTTCATTTTTTGGCAGACGACACACTGGCCAAACACATTTGGGTAAGATCTTCAAGAATATTTATGTATGTATGTATGTATGTATGTATGTATGTGTGTATGTGTGTATGTGTGTGTGTGTGTGTGTGTGTGTGTGTGTGTGAGTGTGAGAGAGAGAGAGAGAGAGAGAGAGAGAGAGAGAGAGAGAGAGAGAGAGAGAGAGAGAGAGAGAGTGCTTGCGTGCGTGCGTATGCATGTATGTACGTGCGTTCGCGTGTGTTTGTGCGTATGTAACTGAGAATCCACGAAGAAACCAATATTTATAAAAAGGGCAAACAGGTCCTATTCAAGTCTGACATTTTGTCGCGGAAGTACTGCTTGATTATTCAAAACTAGATGTCTGCCACAAAAATATATTATAAGGCAAAAAGACCCGGGAGTTGAGGCAGTACAGACCTGCTGAATCATTCTAGACTAACTTTCGATTCCATTTTGATCTAATCTCTAGGGCCTTAGAGTTAAAAGAATCCTTTCCGACTGGAAGCACCTGCCACTCACTTTACAAACAGCGTGCATTACAGTACTTGACGGATATTTTACAAAATGCACACACTACTGATGGGCCAAACATAAAATGATTATTGCGAGAGACTATTATTGCTGCTGAATATGTATTTTGAAGTCTGTTGTGTACAGGTGAAGACACTATACTGCATTCAAACACAGAAAAGCGAATAAAACGTATTAACGTTAAAAACAGATAGAACAAATTTAACGTCTCGTTCAAACATTTATTAGCAAGTTGTCAAAGCAAAAATATTAGACATATCCATGTTATCACGCAATAGAAATCTCAAAATTCATGGTCTCAGTTTATAAGCAATAACTTATCGTCATCCACAGTTCTTTCTGAAAGTTGTCAAATGCACTGCTTGATCCTTTCAAACAAAAAATGTTTTTTTAAGATATTTTTTTTACACAACTGACTCATAATGTATTATTTCTCAAACAATAATCCTGGAAAACCCTAGTTTGCTGTAATCTGAAGCGAAGTCCAATATTAGATGGTACAAGAGAACAGTTCGATTGCATTTTGTTGAACGTTAATATAATCTAACCTCGACATCTGTAAAAATATCTGGTTTCATTGCAATCTACTGAACGTGTGTTCACCAGTGTGATTTTTACACCATATACGTAGTTCTACGTACAGTCAGATATCTTCAATGTATTGTTAACACGGACTGACTGAGTGTCAAGGCTACCCCACCGCCCCTTATTGTTAACAATATAATATATTTTTTTTGTAAATGTAAAGGTTCGTATACTTGTAAATACATAACAGTGTCGTATGCCCCATACTAGTGAAGAGAGACGGGCACTCAGGGTAGAACGTGTCCGTGCTGGTGAAATCCAATAGCAAATATCAGATGGTCCGATATGTTTGTTCATAACATGTAATGTCCCCATGGTCACGTCGGTATGTAGGGCAAAAATAATGACGAGGGCTTGTTCTAAACTTTTTAACTATTGACGTGGGTAGTCGATGGCTAGTCATGCTTAAGATCTGGGTGAAGCCCCAGGTGGGCACAATGTGCGAAGCTCATTTCTGGTGTCCCCCGCCGTGATATCGCTGAAATATTGCTAAAAGTGGCGTAAAACTAAACTCATTCACTTACTCTATGGGTTGTGATTTCACGGTCTCAGGCCCTCATACAATCAATGATATACATGCATATGCATAAATTCATATATTGCATAAACATTTATCCATGCTTATCATGTAGAATGCTTATGCGTTTATGAATACTAATTACATACGGTCTTCATAAAAGTAGATCACGCGAATGATCAAAACAGTGCAATTTAAATGACTGTTTTATCAGCATGTGATTTGCAGAGATGTAACTTTGGTGAATAAAATAATAAAGATTTGACTATTTTCCATAAAAAATCCTGTCGGAGCTAATGTAAACAAACATGTTTTCAATACAGCATTGTCAACAGATGTATTTCAACAAATAACTTGCTATAAACATAAATTACATAAAAGAGACGCTGTTATCAATAATGATATATGTATTTTTACATTACGTCCAGAGTTACAACATTGGATGCCTTAAAAAAATGTTCCAGAAAGTTTTATGGTAAACATATTTCATGTAGACAGCTACAGATAAGACGTATTACTGACAATATCACTGATTTCTGGTGTAATTCCTCCCAACTTGTATCATGTGTCTGTTCTATACTTTCCTTTGTATGTGTTTGTGGAAAGTGCTACCGGTGGGGAAGGATACGCTCATCTGCAAGCACCTGCTATCCTAACTATTTGGTAATCAATCATAATTATGCAGATGCTTTTAAATTAAGTTCAGAAAATCGTTCAGACAAATCTGCTTTTAATAAAGACTTCTTATGACGAAGGTATGTGAAGGGTTTTGGCAATAGCTCATTAGAATCCCGTGTGATGATACAATGCATCTTACTCTGATCGTCATCATGACTTCATCTTCTGGGAACAGCTGCAGCGATAAGTTAAACAGGAACAAAAGTCGCATCTACTTGGAAATGATCATTACAGAAGCTTTTGAATCCGAACAATCTGGGTATAGATTTGTTATGATAATGCATAGGCTTGTTTGTTCTATTTCCCAATCGAAGCAGGCGTCTAAAATCTTGAACTCATTCCTCATATATAAAAAAGGTGCGTCGTGGTATGAGTGAGTGAGTGAGTTACAATTTAGAGTCACATTGGCAGTATAACAGCCATACCGTGACTACACAAGATTTGCATACACAGTAAATACATATTGGTATTACAAAATCCAGTCATTAAAGGACTGTAAAATGACTTGACTGTCACATATTTTGTTTTAAAACTAGTATGTAACAATATAGATCACCAGCAACTAAAGGTAGGTCACCATACTAGGAACCATGGGGATTTACAGTGCCTTTGCAGCCTGCATGGATCCCCGCAGGATTTACAACATCCCACTAGCTGGTACAAGTGAAATGAGCCATAAATATCACTCACTATCTCACGTTTCGTTCCAGGTTCTTCCCAATGTTGGCGGCTGATTTCTCCAAACTCCATATCAACTACGCTATCCGTCTTGAAGGAGAAAGACTGTATTTATCCCAATCTGAAATGATGCATGACTGGAAGCAGTCAGACACGAAGAAGTGTACAAGTGCCAAAACCTCCAAGATGACACTCTTGAATGATAAAGTTGTTTTTGTCATCGGCGATGAAATCCGCGTTAATATTGACACTTACGATTCCCATGGGAACAAGAAAAATTGCGGAGGGGATTTCCTACGACTTTGGATGGAGGATAAAAGATTGGGAGCTTCCGTTGCTGGTCACGTCATCGACCATAACAACGGAAGCTATACTGGCGTGATCAGGGCATTGTGGGAAGGTGCAGCTTCAATTAGGTGTTTCATTGAAAGGAGGAAAGAAGAAATTGCCATGTTTTATGACATCTTGGAGAAGAATCATGCACTGTGGGTGCCAAAGAGGGAGTTTGTTTCCAATGGTTTTGTCGAGAGTACAGAGTGTTCTATTAAACCTGACAATTTCCAAAGCTACTGTAATTTTACGGATATGAACTATGGGTTTCCATGGTTCTGTGCCAGGCCGAATAAGTTAAAGTGTGAAGATTGGAAGAATTCCTGGTCTGAGAACAGAGGATACCCACCCGATGACCCCTACCAGAGGAGCATATACTATCTGTCAGTGAATATTGTTTAAGCAAAACAGTAGTAGCAGTATTATTATTATTATTAGTATTAGTAGTAGTAGTAGTACTAGTAGTAATAGCAAAGAGCAGCACTAGTGGTATTAGATGCAGTAGTTCTGCTTCTATCACTACTTTTTTATAGTAATTATAATAATATATATATTTTTTAATTTATTAATATTATATGTGATTGTTATTGTTTGATTTAGTAGCTTAATGATACCTATAATTGATATCTGATATTTTTGATGGGAAGAATACACCTGTTCAAAGTATCTGCGTAGTCTATGCCCGGCTAATGCATTTGTGCTCTCCAATTCCATCTTCAGATCCCTTATATCATTCTACTGGGTTTTCATTCTTGCTTATCGCTTAGGACCAAACCGCATATAACTGTTACATGTGATGCAAAACAATCGAATCTCCACAAGGAAAACTAGTGGGTAACAGCATGAACAAGGTTCTAGGCAAAATAACTGAAGATCAATCAAGTAAATTACCGCCAAAAGAAAGCATACGTTAGTGAAACGTTTTTCGGTCGGAAATACTGCAAACAGAAAGTCCAAAACACAGCTATTTATAACACCCTTATTAAATACGTCACTATCGCAAAACCATTTCTTCTTTTTTCCAATTATAGCCACCAGCACGGCCATACTTTCGTTTGCCTGGCAAACAAATGATGCTGCTACTTTTGTAGAATCAAACTACATGTCATTTGTTATAGATCTGTCAAGGGAAACGACGATGATCTGCCGACAAAGATTCATATCACAGTTGTTTATAGTAAGTATTCGGACCTTTGTCTTTGAATATGTGAATGTTAGACATATAGTTGTGATGCCGACAATTTTAAGAACTGATTTTAGAATTATAATGCACATACTTCTTAACCGCAAATGCTTCATGCAATGAATTCAATAATTAACAAACTATAGAGTGGGCTATACAAAAGCAGCGACATCGTTCATCGTACACTTGCCTCGCCAATTTCTAATTTAAGTGAATCGGGAAACAGTAGATTGTTTGAAGTCGAGGTTGTATGGATTATTTCAGTTTATCAAAACAAATGGAAAACAAACAAAATAAAATGAAACCAACAACATCATATCGTTCCTTATTTAGCTAATTTAAATCAACAAAATTGCTTTATGAATATGGTTTTGCACTGACACTTTGTAAAGATATTTATTAAAGAAATGCCTACAGAAATGCATGTAGTTATGTACTCTTTTAATTGAAGTAGCTGAGTGTCAAGATCATTTCAAAATAAGCCGTTTTGAAAAAATCTTAATGAGAATGAGGTTAGTTTCATAACACTATTAGTAACAATAATGAATACATTGTAATAATGCACTTACAATGCTTTGTATCACTGTGAGTATATATACAGTGCAAGTTCTACATATTTCGATCACGATCGTCAAATTAAACAGACCAATATTTGCTTTGATCATCTGACCAATACATATGATGAAACATTTGTTGCAGAAAATACATTAAAGGACTTACAACTATCCAGACCAACAACCCCGTGCAACAGACTTCCGCCGGAAATGACGTGGAGGATGGTGTCTCCAGTCGGCCTCTTTTTTGGTGGCGCCTTTCAGCCAACGTTGTGTCTGGACAATTTGTCCTTGACTCCAAAGACATACCGCAGGTGCTTGAAGAACAAACGTCTGTGGCTGCACGGAGACTCGACGAGTCAACAGTTCAAAAGAAGCCTCCACTACACCCTCGGTATTCCCGACGTAAGCACTGGCCATAACCCTCAGCTTCTCACGGACAAAGAGGATAACTTTTCCGTGTCTTGGTATGCACATGAATTCCCATTTTTCCACGGAGCTGAACGATTTGCGCCCACAGTAAATAAACCCCAACATCTTCTTCTCGACAGTCTTCCAGATAACACGGAGGATATTGTCGTCCTATACATATACGTCCACTTTAATTTGGTTCATCCTGACGTGTACCGTGAACATATTCGTGTGATGGTGCGGTCAGTGGGCAAGTTGTTGTCACGTGCTCCGAAAGTGACCATAGCTGTTCGAGGTCCACATGCCTATTACAGAAGTTTTGCACAGGAGCTCGTGTCTTACTGGGGATTAATTTATTCAGACATACTCAGAAAAGAGTTCGCTCCCTTTGCTGACAGAGTTGTCTACCTTGACTTTTGGGATTTGACGGTTGCAGTTGGGCCGGAACATGTTCACCCAGACATGATCATTGTTAAATCAATGGTACATTACATGATGTCATTGTTATGTCATAGACTATGAATAACTTGGTAATATGTTCTTAAAAATCTTCATATGTCTTTATCAAACACTAATTTCTGACATCTTGCATTAGATGTTGATTGTTTTACATACTGAAAGTCAGATAGATTCACAGGGTTTGAAAGCATAATGACTAGTATTATACGGAAAGTAACCGCCTCCGTGGTGTAGTGGTTAGAGCGTCCGCCCGGAGAGCGGAAGGTCGCGGGTTCGATCCCCGACCGCGTCATACCAAAAGACGTTAAAATATGGTACTTGTTGGTCCCTGCCTGGCGCTCGGCATTAATGGGTGCAACAGGGACTGGTCGGCTCGGAGTCAGTATAATGTGTCTGAGTGGGGTATTCATGCTTCACTGCGGCATGGTATCTCAGTGGGGTAGCACTATAAAACCAGCTTAAGTTTGGGCTATTACAAGCAGCCGCACATACACATACACACGCATGCACGTCGTCATATGAGCGAACTATTCTCAAGCACGACGTTTAACCCAATTTCACCTCACTTATACGGACAGTAAGACTAAGCCATTCGACTAAGTCTTTGTTTTCGTCGCCACGTTATTTAGGTATATGTTATTTGTGTGTGTGGTTCATAGTTTTCTTCATGTGAGTGGTTCTGTGTCTGTTTTTAATAGTTTGCGTGTGTGTATGCGTGTGTGAGTGTGTGTGCGTGATATGTACTCACAACCCCACAACTCACCCCACACGAATTAATATCATATTCATAAAATTAGACAATATTTAATCGTACCCATATATCTGTGTGTGTATACATATTAACATTGCAAAAAAGTCCCGTGAATAAAGTTATTATGTTTGATTACAGATAGCTCTTTTCACACAATTTTAATGTCGAGTGTCATCATATTAGTTTTATCAAGTGCTGAGTAGTTCACTTTAGTCATATCACCTCAACGATTACAGTGTTTGCCTTAATGCATTGCTTCTCACTTTTAGTTTTCCCTGCACGGGTAATCATGAATATTGAATATGTATTGGGTTCACCATTAGCTATTCACAAATATTCGGCATATTCCGGCATATTTCAGTGTAACTGAAAAATAATGGTATATGTTTTATGATTGGATCACTCAAAATCAGTGCTGATTGTGATTGGCTCTTGCTTAAGGAAGCACCACGCCATATTCCGCCTTATGACTTTGGTGTGTAAATAATCGATTCTGGGCCATCCAATCAAGAATCTGTTAGCGTATCCATCTACCTAATTGGGATACAATAATATGCATGAATGCATTCTGGGGACCTCACCATCGTCAGTCAAGCATGGGATCGGGTTTTGTGGGCTACTTAAGATATGTCAGTAACCAACATGTCACCACGAGTATTTGCAAATTTTGCTACTTCTATTTTTTTTCAGTTTGAGACCGTTATCCCTTTTGTACCCTTTTGTACCCCATGGTGGTACATGCCACAATAGTTTCCACAAGAGCAGAATAGATTGTTGGATTCCGAGGTACAATCGATTCCGACTTTATCACAAGCATTTATTTATGAATCACTATTTAATAGTGATGATACACCGTGTCCGCGAAAAAGCTGAGCGTATCCTAAACTACGTAAACCATATAGAGTTGAGTCCCTTAGGCGGGCCAGGATCCTATAATCCTGATCCGAATCCTGATCGCACAATGATTATACTTTTGGGCGTGTCAGTAGCTAGTTCATGCTCAAGAGGATACGAGTAAAACGTACTCTTTCCTCTAAATTCCATCCGACGTAATTCTGTTCAAAGTGCCAAAACCCTAACTAACCCCTTACCCAGTTAAAACGGGACGGTGGCGTAGCGAAGACCCAGCTTTCTGTAGGCCCCCGCCGTGATATTGCTGGAATATTACTTAAAGCGGAGTAAAACTAACCTCCCTCCCCAAATTAAAACCTGTGATAGCAGTCTTATCGGTCCAGTGGTCCTGCCTTTAGTATAATATAGGCTAGGTCTGACCCTTTTATTCCCCGAACGAGTCAAAATCGATATATGAACAAACATTCAGAACAAATGTCAAGCTCGGACGGGAAAGAGCTCGTTCCTCGTAGCAACGGGAACACAAAGGCCCCAGTCGTCTGGGCGTGATAAGTCGCTGTGAGGAGTTCTGGTTATTATGCGTGTCAGAAACCAGTTATCGTGGTTTAAAGTGGGTTAAGATTTTTTGTCACATCGGTAGTATTTCAGCCATATCGTGACTAAAACAAATTATACGTTCATGTCACATAAATCCAGAACATAAAAACCTGTTGAAGGACAGTACAAACAACTACAATATCGCAGAAAACTAGCATGTACATATAAATCTATAGACAATACAGTTATAAATAACAGGCTATACATCAACAGCTGAAGGTAGATCACCTTGATAAGCACCATAGGGGCTGTGGTTTAGAACCTGAAATAGGCCCGGTTATATTTTTAGGTTATCAGCACTTTGCTTGTGGATTTCACCTCAGTTGTAAAAGTCAAAGACCTGCTTCACTTCGAGTTGAGTGAGTGAGTGAGTGAATTATTATTTAACGTCACATCGGCAATATTTCAGCCATATCGTGACGAGAACACTTGACATTAAAATAGAATATATATAGATAGTATAAAAACCTGCCGACAAAGGACAGTAAAGCAACTAGGGTATCACAGATATACATGTAAAACTAGTAATTGAATCTAAAACATTTTAACTATAGGGGACAACACAATATAAAAATAGGCTATAGGTCACCAACAACTGAAGGTAAATCACCATACAAGGACTTCGAGTTGAAGTGGGGGACATGCCGATTCGTAGACCCCGCAATTCGCTGACTTTTTTGATATTAAGCACCGCACCCAGCAATATTCGATCTCTATTACGGCGGTCTGTAAATAATCGAGTCTGGACCAGACTACAAGCACCGCACCCAGCAATATTCGATCTCTGTTACGGCGGTCTGTAAATAATCGAGTCTGGACCAGACTACAAACACCGCACCCAGCAATATTCGATATCTATTACGGCGGTCTGTAAATAATCGAGTCTGGACCAGACTACAAGCACCGCACCCAGCAATATTCGACATCTATTACGGCGGTCTGTAAATAATCGAGTCTGGACCAGACTACAAGCACCGCTACGAGCAATATTCGATCTCTATTTCGGCGGTCTGTAAATAATCGAGTCTGGACCAGACTACAAGCACCGCACCCAGCAATATTCGATCTCTATTTCGGCGGTCTGTAAATAATCGAGTCTGGACCAGACTACAAGCACCGCACCCAGCAATATTCGATCTCTATTTCGGCGGTCTGTACATAATCGAGTCTGAACCAGACTACAAGCACCACCCAGCAATATTCGATCTCTATTACGGCGGTCTGTAAATAATCGAGTCTGGACCAGACTACAAGCACCGCACCCAGCAATATTCGATCTCTATTTCGGCGGTCTGTAAATAATCGAGTCTGGACCAGACTACAAGCACCGCACCCAATGCAATATTCGATCTCTATTACGGCGGTCTGTAAATAATCGAGTCTGGACCAGACTACAAGCACCGCACCCAGCAATATTCGATCTCTATTTCGGCGGTCTGTAAATAATCGAGTCTGAACCAGACTACAAGCACCGCACCCAGCAATATTCGATCTCTATTACGGCGGTCTGTAAATAATCGAGTCTGGACCAGACTACAAGCACCGCACCCAGCAATATTCGATCTCTATTACGGCGGTCTGTAAATAATCGAGTCTGGACCAGACTACAAGCACCGCACCCAGCAATATTCGATCTCTATTTCGGCGGTCTGTAAATAATCGAGTCTGAACCAGACTACAAGCACCGCACCCAGCAATATTCGATCTCTATTTCGGCGGTCTGTAAATAATCGAGTCTGAACCAGACTACAAGCACCGCACCCAGCAATATTCGATCTCTATTACGGCGGTCTGTAAATAATCGAGTCTGGACTACCTAGTGGTCGACATCATAAGAATTGATCTACGCAACTGGAATACGACGAAATGCCTCAACCAAGTCAGCAAACCCGATCCCGTTACTCGCCTCGTACAAGCATTGGTTACTGAGGAACACATTTGACCACAACGCTAAAGGTTATTTACTTCTGTTGCGAGGAAAGTAGTCCTTCTAGGTGGGCATCACATTCAAAAGATATTACATATTCTTTCAATCAACTTTCAGGAATAACAAATGAACACATTGATCTGTTGAAACCGCCCTCTTAAGAAGATTCTCCACATGGTACAATGTGTGAAGCCCATTTCTGTTGTCCCACACCGTGATATTGCTAAAGGTGGCGTACAACTATATTCCCTCACTCACTCACCACGTCTCGCAACCGCATCGGGTGTTATCAATCTAGCCAGGGTTATTGCAATGTGTTTTTTACCGGGTGTGAACTAAAGACAATATTCCCGTCAGCTTCATAAGATGACCAGGTGCATTTGAAACACGTGGTAGCGGGTTAGGTGGCTGACCTTGTGTGCTGGCGATTAGATGCCTGACTCTGAGGGTGTGAGTTCGAATCCCGGATGGGGCTCAACTCAAAAAGTAATAGAATCTGTACTTTACTAAGAAAGTGTAATCCCAAATATAACCTATGTTACATACATCCACTATTATCAATTGAACCACGCAGTAGACATTTTACAAAGTTTTCACTCTCATGAAATGGGTTTTACACTGATGACGAATCAAGAATTAAATTTCAGTTCAGTGAGTGAATGAGTTAATATTTAACATCACATCGGCAATATCTCAGCCATATCGTGACGAAAACAATTTATACAGTAAAAAGTGAAAACCTTTTGAAGATTAAAACCTGTCGACGATGGACAGTAAAAATAGAAGATAATCACAGATATAATATAAAATTAGCGAGCAAAGCTAAAACATTCCAATTAAAGAAGACAATACAATATAAAACACGGGCTATAGACAACAACTGAAGGTAGATCACCATACTAGGAACCATGGGGACTTACATTACTTTTTCTACCTGCATGGATCTTAGCTGGATTTACACCATCCCTTCAGCCGCTGGCGATTGTAGGAAAATGTAGCCGGCAGTTAAAAGAACAAAGAAACTACGTTTAAAATACGGTAAATTTACATTTTACTTTGAAAGTTTTGGGACTTACGTACCCTCTCAGGAGGACAATAATTTTACAGTACTTTAACCCCCTTTGAGGGTACAGCCACTAACAAGTTACTAATCTAAATTACCAATCTTTAAAATATGTCTGTGTACAAAACAAATTAATCAGAATTCATCAAACAAATCAATTTCTTTTAAAAAACCAATAATTAAATGATAATTAACATTTTTAAAAAGATCCTTCATTGTTTTTACATTGAAATATTTATCCCTTATGATGGAGAATTCAACACAGTCAAGCAGGACATGCTTGATGACCTCTTCAAATCTGGACTGACAACCCAAGTAGGTGTAACCGATAGTTGGTTTTATTGCATGTAATTTATTGATACCTGCTTTGGCGTCCCACTTCTTTTGCATCAGATCACGGATGTAAGTTCTAATGCTAGCTTTGTAATCAGAGTATGGGATCAGAAGTGGTGTCACAGATTTGTTGAGTGCTGCCTTGAGTAACCAACAGAGGACGATGTCGTGTTGGCCAGGTGCAAGATCATTATATAATTCTATAATTTCTAATAAAAGTGGATGGTTACAAGAAATATTTTTTCTCTCGCCTGAAGACACGAAAGAGAATCGGAAAAGATGATGTATTTTTTATTTTTACGGTGTTTATTAATATATTTAAGAGCTGTTAATATGGCGTAAGCTTCTGCTGTGAAAATAGAGCTGTTATTTCGTAGTCGAGAAGATATTGTTTGGGATCCAATGACAGTGGCACAAGCAACTGCGCCACCATCCTTGGATCCATCTGTAAATAAGGATTTGTATGTATTATATTAATTTTTTAATCGATGATATTCTTGTTTATATTGTAATTCATTAGTTTCTGCTTTCTTAAACTTAGTCATTGTGAGGTCAACTTGTGTTCTCACTAATTGCAAAGGAGGAGAAGAAAGAAGACGAGAAGAAGATACATTCTCCAGCTCAATGCTGGCAGCAGAAATCAATGGTTTAATTCTGTGCCCAAGAGGCGGAACAAGAGAAGACTTTTTGTTATACAAATCCTCATAAAGAGGATTGAAGACACAGTTAAATGCAGGGTGAGACTCGTTAGAATATAGTTTAGTAAGATATTGTAAAGATAATTGAATACGGCGTTGGGAAAGAGAAGGCTCATCTGCCTCGACATAGAGACTATCAACTGGAGAAGTTCTAAATGATCCAAGACAAAGTCTTAGACCTTGGTGGTGAACAGAATCAAGTAGTTTAAGGTTGCTTTTGCAGGCTCCGCCATATACGATGGAGCCATAATCAAGTTTAGATCGCACCAATGATCTATATAAGTGAAGGAGGGTAGTTTGATCCCCTCCCCACTTTGAATCGGAGACGACGTTTAACAAGTCTAGTGCCTTCAGGCATTTAGCTTTAAGGGACTTAATATGTGGCAGGAGTGTTAAATTGGAATCGAAAATTAGGCCCAAGAATTTGGCCTCCTTTACAACTTTGATGGGAGTGCCATTTAAAGTTAGTTCTTGGTCCTTATGAGGCTTATATTTTCTACAAAAATGTATACAATTAGTTTTTGATTTAGAAAATTTAAAGCCGTTTTCAAGACACCATTTATTTATTTTGTTTAAACATAACTGCAGTTGCCGTTCAATAGTATGCATATTTTTACCACGACAAGAAATATTGAAATCATCCACAAATAATGATCCATCAATTGAATCATTTAAAACCGTTGATAAACTATTGATCTTGATGCTAAACAGTGTGACAGACAAAATACTGCCTTGTGGGACACCCTGATCCTGATTATAATGATCCTGATTATAATGATCAGACAGGGTTGAACCCATGCGGACTTGAAATTGCCTGTCTTTTAAAAACTGTGATATAAAAAGAGGCAAACGGCCTCTCAAACCAAAATCATGTAAATCCTTCAAAATGCCATGCTTTCAGGACGTATCATAAGCTTTCTGAAGTTCAAAGAAAATTGATACAGCATGTTGTTTATTTACTATAGCATTTTTAAGAAAGTTTGATATAAGCCCCAGTTAGCCTTCGAAAAATTCCATCTTGTATACGATGGAGAATCAGATGGAGTTATTTCTGAAAGGATAGTTGGAAAATGATCGCTTCCACAAAGGTCATTGTGGACAGACCAATAAAATTGATTGAATATGTTAGAATCTGCAAGAGACAAATCCAGAGAAGAGTAAGTGCCAGTTGCAGGATGTAGATAAGTGTTTGAATCATCATTATATACTAGCCACATAAAGAAACTGTGCATTGTCAAAATATTATCCCAGTTGATAAGTACGATAACAATGTCAAAGGTACATATAAACTTGAATGAAGGGATCATGAGACCATAACAAGTCGTGAGAATTTCAATTGAAAAGTCAAACAACCATGTCACAAGCTCAATAACGGGTATGTCCACCATCGGCATTGAAAACAGCAGTGCATCGACGACGCATAGAGCCTATCAAACGTGCAAGGAAGGCTTGTGGGATGTCACGCCAGATTCTCTCAAGTTCTGTTGCAAGGTCAAGGACGTTATCTGGCGGATGAGGAAGACGGCGTAGACGTCGATCCATCTCGTCCCAAACATGCTCTATCGGGGAGAGATCCGGTGAATTTGCAGGCCAAGGCAGTAAGTCAACGTTGTGGTGTTGCAAGAAATCCATAGCAACCCTTGCCGTATGAGGGCGGGCATTGTCCTGTTGGAATGTTAACCCAGGGCCATGACGTTGCAGAAAAGGAATTGCCACAGGTCGAAGAATCTTATCCCTGTAGCCCACACCAGTTAAGTTGCCCTGAACAATCACCAAAGGAGGTTATTGGCGTGCTGTTATTCCACCCCCCAATCATCACGGAACCACCACCAAAGCGATTCCTCTCCAAGACACAGGCTTGTGCATAACGTTCTCCCACGCGTCTATAGGCACGTTGACGTCCATCACTATGGGAAATGTTAAACCTGATCTCATCTGTAAAAAACAACATTTCTCCACCAAAACCAGGGTCTGCGGACATGATTTCGGCACCACATTCGGCGAGCTTGCCGATGACGTTGTGTCAGGATAGGCCGTATGGCGGGGCGTCGTGGTCTGATCCCGTGATGACGTAAACGTTGTCGAACTGTGTTGGGGTGGATACGGCGAAGTCCTGGGATGGATCGGGCAGTCATCACTGCAGTCTGAAACCTGTGGCGACGATGGGTCACCCTTATCCACCTGTCCTGTCTTGGCGTTGTTACATGTGGACGTCCAGAATGTGGCCGATCGATGACGTCATTTGTGTTGTGGTAGCGTCTCACCAGTGCAGAAATGGTGTTACGGTGGCAGTGGAAATGTGCAGCCACTTGTCGTTGAGACATTCACCCACGGACCATCCCAATGGCCTCATGACGTTGTGCAGACGTGAGCCTTGGCATGCTATGCGTTTCAATAGCCGTTTAATTTTTTGAACGATCGCAAGGGCAGGGATTGAGCTTTCCAAAGTGACAGTATTGTGTGGCATTCATTAGGTCTGTTTCTCTTTCCCGGAATGCACGTGCAACAACGTATTGCACGTCTCAAGGACGAACCCACTGACGTCATGGAACGTGGCACGTGCATGCATGTTGGATACATGTCACTAATCTCTGAGTTTAAATCCTTATGTGTCTACACAGGTTTGATAAATTTAGATTTTAAATTTTTGTATGCACAGTTAATTTATGTGCCTAGTATATATGCACAAGTCATTATTAGAAATGAAATCTTCTAGTATTTTACCTTTAGTATTAGTGTTGTTACTACCCCAGAGGGGGTTGTGACCGTTAAGGTCGCCCATAATAACACAGGGCTTCGGAAGTTGATCATAGAGTGACTGAAGTTCAGTCTGCTGAAGTGCAGAGGAAGGCGAAATATACAGAGAGCATAATGTAAATGCTACATCCAGAGTAAGTCTCACTGCAACAGCTTGGAGATTAGTTTTAAGTACAACAGGACTGTTAATAACATCTTGTCGCACAAGGATAGAAGATCCTCCAGTGGCCCTGTCACCCAGAGGAGAAAAATAATGACAGGCATTGAACTGACGTAAAGTTAAATTATCTGTCTGTTTCAGATATTTCTTGCAGACAGATGCTGATGATGTTAAATCCTGGACTAATAGCTGTAGTTCGTTAAAATTTGTCCGTAGTCCTCTACAGTTCCACTGCACGATACTAGTAAAATGACCTATCTTTTAGGTGGATTGATAGGGGACCTACCCCTCACTTTTTTGGATGGCGACAAGCTATGTGCCCTGGGATGGATGTTTTCTGACACATCCATCTCCTCGAGTGAACCATATTTATTGAATAATTTTATTCGATTTTCTGAACCCTTGGGTGGTCTGCCACTCGTTTTCCCAGTTCCCGTTCTCGGTTTGGCTGTACTTTTTGACTTCGAACTTGTTTCAGAACGAGTCTGTTCTGTAGATTGTGACACTGTGCGTTCTTCATCCTGAACTGTAGATATTATCATAGTGTTAACACTTACTTCTGAAGTCTGAGTAGATTGCTCAGGCGTGAGAAGTTTAGGGTTATCATTTTTAACCCAAGTCAGGTCTGTTTGACAACGAATCGACAAAGTGGATACTTTAGGCATGGTTTCGGAAGGTAATCTGACGACTGATGCATAAGTTTCGTTAGGTAGTGTTGATTCCACAATCTTTTTAGCATCAGTAAAGCTAATGTTTTGAATGAATTTAACTTTGTTTATTTCCATTTGCTTTTGCCATGTTTTACAACCCTTGGAAATTAAAAGGATGAATGATTGCCTGAACAATTTGTGCCTTTATTTAAAGGACTAGTGCAGTCTTCCGTCACATGAGACGTCTCGCTACAGTGAGCACACGTCACTGGCTTTGTACAGGTGTTAACACCATGACCATATTTTTGGCATCGAAAACACCTCAATGGATTTGGGATGTAGACTGCAACTGTGATACTACAGTAACCCACTTTAACAGACTGAGGGAGACTTGGAGATGAGAATGAAAATAGGTATGTGTTTGTCGGAATCAGTTCGTTGCTTTTGCGGGTGGTAAATCGTTTGACATATGTCACACCCTGATCTTTCATTTCCGATGTCCAGTTCTGACATGTCAGCTAACAAACGGTCTCTGTCTCTTATGCCTTTGCAGGTGTTCAAGGTTCTATGGGCCGTGACTGAAACAGGGATGTCAGCAAAAGTTTGCATTGTCAATAGGTTAGATGCCTGCTGTTTTCTATTGCACTCAATCAATAGAGAGCCTGAACGCAAGCGTTTGTAGTTCTTAACGTCGCCTGCAATGCCCTATATCCCCTTAGAAATAATAAAAGGGTTCAACTTGAGTGGAGTCTTGTCAACAGTGTCAAGAACAAGGAAACGTGGGCAATTTTCTGTTAGTGTGGATTCATTCTCTTCATTGTCATTGTCGAGTTGTCGTTTGGTCTCTTTCGAGGGAGTTTGGTAAGCCATGTTGAGTTAGTAATTGTTTCATCATCCGAGCTCCCCACCCACCACGGAGTATCATAAAGACAGTGCTAATAATAAGTGGATCTCCGACTTGCAGCACCAGGGATACCCGGATGACATACTCAAGCAGAAAAAATGAAAAATCAATTATTCTACCAGATTGGCCCATGAGCCACCGCCTTCTGGCACCGGCATCTAGGCAAATTTTCACAAATTTGAAAATCCATATATCACATAGTAGATACACAAAACAAAACATATCAATATTGTGTCCAAATAAAACCAAGCCAAACAATATTAGAGCAAAGAAATTTAGTGCTCAGGGTTCGGCATGACCAGCCGATGGGTTGAACCGGGCCCATTCACCCACCCGTCTAGGTGAAGTAAGGGTCGAAGTGGTGTGTTGGGCAAAGGAGAACTGCTCCTGGAACCAGTGCCCACAACCACCAGACTCCCGTCCTCCATCGACACAGGGGCGCAACCCACGGCAAACGGGTTGGTGGACCAAATATACCCCCGGGTCCACAACGGGGGGTTGAAGAGCGCTTAGCGTTACCAAGCACCCACCACGAGGAGGTGGCTCTTCACGGGTGCCTCTCAGAATAAGAAGTTTGACCATGGTTTTGCTGAATTTAAATTGAGTACAAAGTCCCCACTTGATGGATCGTTTTGCTTCAATTTTTGTTTTCAACTGTTGAATTATATCAGGTTGAATTTTCACAAAATAATAGTACGGATCATTTCCTTCTTGACCCCCGGGAATATAATCAAATTCCCTCACAGTCCCATTCAATGCTTGTCTAGAGCATGATTGTTGATTATCACCATTAGCTCTCCTACGTTTAGCTGACCCACCACCACTTGCTGTTGTGATTCTGTCTAGTGTGTTTGGTGAGACCTTTCACTGTGGGAAATGTGTTTGAACAGTGATGACATTTAAATGATTGTCGTGAAGCTGTGCTGAGTGGGCCGTCTTTGTGTTGACTTTTTACATGTCTTTGTAATGCATCACTGCGCAAGAATGATTTGGAACAGATTTCACAATCAAAATGTTTCTCAGATGGACCACAATTTCTCTGATGTATGACGCAGTCGGGGATCGAACCCGCGACCTTCTAACCACTACACCACCTGATTGGCCCATGAACCACCGCCTTTTGGGGATACGACTCAAGGCAGAAGTAAAATTATGCTTCTGAAATATTGAGATAAACATAATTTGGCCAAGAACGAAAAAATTCATGTTCTCATTTTTATCATTTTTTTTGCAACATTACATAGTTGTAGCACAGGACTTGACGTGACCACCCGATTGATAGAACCGGGTCCATTTTACTACCCGTCCAGGTGAAGTAAGGGTCGAAGTGGCAAAAGAACCAGTGCCCTCAACCACCAGAATCCATTACTCCACCAACACAGGGGCACAACCCATGGCAAACAGATTGCCCATCTCGGTCGCCTTTTACAAACAGCAATGGGGTGCTGTGGACATATTCTATCCCGAGTTCACACGGGGGAAGAGCTATTAGCGCTACCCAGCACTCACCACGGAGAGATTGCTCTTCACGAGTGTCACACGTATATAGAGGCAGTAGACATCGTTCTTGACCGCTCTGCTACTGCTAGTTCCCCCAAATTGTAGTAAGCACACCAACAACACACAACCAAACACGCTTTGTCACTAAGACGGATACATTTGAGTGAGTATTATTTAACGTCACATCGGCAATAATTCAGCCATAACGTGACGAGAACACTTGACATTGAAATAGAATATATATAGAGATTATAAAACCTGACGACAAAGGACAGTAAAGCAACTAGAGTATCGCAGATATATATGTAAATCTAGTAATTGAATCTAAAACAGTTTAACTATAGGGGACAACACAATATAAAACACGGGCTATAGATCGCCAACAACTGAAGGTAGATCACCATATTAGGAGCCATGGGGACTTACATTACTTTTGCTACCTGCATGGATCTTAGCTGATTTACACCATCCCTTCAGCCGCTGGCGATTGTTAAAATAACAAAAATACTACGTTTAAAATGTGATAATTTATATTTTACTTTGAAAGTTTTGGGACTTACGTACCCTCTCAGGAGGAGGATACATTTGAAGAGAACGTAAACACATAACAGTATCCGTAGGTCATATTTCAGTGATAGAGTTGAGAAACCCTTTGTGCGTTTTATATGCAATCAGAATATGATAATCAGTTTCTACATAACGAGTAGTATATATTACATTCTGCGTAATTTCAGCTTTTTGTTCGTGTACATATCTGTCCAACAAAACGCAAGCCATGTGAACTACACCGAAACTGGATTGTAGGGGTAGCCTAGTTGTCAAAGCGTCCGCTTGTCACGCCTAAGATCTGGATTCGATTCCCCACATGGGTACGTGTGAAGCCCATTTCCGGTGCCCCCGCCGTTATATTGCTGGAATACTGCTAAGCGTGGCGTAAAACTGAACTCACACTCATTCTCATATACCACATATTGGCTTATTTCCTTGTCATGAAGATAGGGGCTTATTACCACTAGATTGACTATCTACAGTCTTGGGCGCCCTACCGTAAAATTATTGTCCTCCTGAGAGGGTACGTAAGTCCCAAAACTTTCAAAGTAAAATATAAATTATCACATTTTAAACGTAGTATTTTTGTTATTTTAACTGTTGGCTAAATTTTCCTACAATCGCCAGCGGCTGAAGGGATGGTGTAAGTCCAGCTGGGATCCATGCAGGTAGCAAAAGTAACGTAAGTCCCCATGGTTCCTAGTATGGTGATCTACCTTCAGTTGTTGGCGATCTATTGCCCATTTTTATATTGTGTTGTCCCCTATAGTTAAAATGTTTTAGATTCAATTACTAGTTTTACATATATATCTGTGATACTCCAGTTGCTTTACTGTCCTTCGTCGGCAGGTTTTATAATCTCTATATATATTCTATTTCAATGTCAAGTGTTCTCGTCACGATATGGCTGAAATATTACCGATGTGACGTTAAATATTAACTCACTCACTCACTCTTGGGCGCCCTTGAGAGAAATCATGACAACAGCGTTAAGACTATCGCAAGTCTGTATCAAAGTAAGGGAGTTACGATCACCTTTGCCCCATTGCTTTGTATAACGCGCCATGTATTAGTGCGTGAGTGGGTTTAGTTTTACGCCGCTTTTAGAAATATTCAAGGAATATCACCGCAAGGGACTCTAGAAATTAGCTTCACACACTGTACCCATATGAAGAATCGAACCCTGGTCTTCGGTATGACGAGCAAACGATTTAACCACTATGCTACCCATCGCCATAGGGCCATGTATTGAGGTGTCATAGCTGTAATCCTGCTGGCTGAAGTGAGAGACAACCAACTATCATTCAACATCCGTATCAAGTTGCTCCCTCGAGGTAACTATAAAACCATGTACCTACTTTTCAGCATTGAACAGTGTCATTAAAGATAAGACTCACAATACTCCTCCGATAAAGTGACCTCTCATGATTTTGAAATTATGTTTTCTGTTCAATATAATGAACGAACTAATAGACGTAAAGTGCTGACAAATTCTACGCCGAGAATCAGATAATCATTTCGGTCTTCTTTCTGTGGTCTTTCTGATCATAGATCAATGCTTC